TCTTTGATCAAGTTTTACAAGCCTTATTATGAAATTGTTCAAGGTTTTATTGTGGGGCACCCTGATCTATCCACTCCTATTCATAGGAGGGGAAAACCTTTTACAACAAAAATTTGACCCTCAGGAAAATGTCTGGATTTATCTGGCCTAGACTTTTCCTGGTTAACTTCCTGGCTTCCTAATTTTGGATGGTTGGAACAGTTATTTAGTATGGTTGTTTTATTTTGTGTTATAGGGATCATGGTCTTTGCTGTATCCAATGCATACCTGTTTGTATATCTATCTTCAGGCCTAAGGTGAATCAAATGATTTTGCAAACAAAGAAAGCTGAGGATACTAGATTTGTGTTAAGTCAAATTGAATGGAGCAATCATCATCATCATCATCATCATCATCATCATAATAATAATAAAAAATGCTCCAGAGAGGGGAATGTAAGGAGTGACCTAGAAACTACTATGCAAAGCCCAAGCAAAAGTGAATGTTATGTGACAAATGCCCATCTGCAATGATAAGGAGGAGACAGTCTTAGATAAAGGAGGCTTGAAAACAAAAGCAGGATCAGAGTACTGGGTCAAAGAGCTCATTAAAATACTAAAAATCACGCCCCTAGGTGGGGAAAAAGCATGCTAATGAAACATACATGTATGTAAATGAGATACATAGCTAAAACACAGGTATAGAGACATGCTCAGTAAAGAACTCCTTGCGTCACTCCTTTATAACCAATCAGCAAAATGAAGGCTCAAAAACTCCTGTATAAAAGATGCTTAGAATTAGAAATCTGTGTGCTTGTTATGTGAAATTATTCTGCTTGCACCTTTTATTGCTAGCAATAAACCTTCTTTATACTTTCACCCCTGGTATCTTTATTGGCCTTTGCATACCGGGCACGATCCCAGACTTGAGCTGGGGCTCAACACCTGGACTTTCGTCCCAGTTTTGAAGATGTCCAGTTTGCAGCTCCAAATGTGTTGTCAGCTGTTGGTAGGATCTTTGTTCGTTGTTTGCCAGACAAGCCCTATGCCCAGGGCCTACTGCAGCTTTTCCTGTTTCCCTGTACAGGTCCCACCTGGGCTGTTGCATCCAATTCTGGGTTCCACAATTTAAGAAGGATGTGGAGAAGCTTGAGAGAGTCCAGAGGAGAGCCACGCGCATGATCAGAGGACAGGAGAATAGGCCTTATGAAGACAGGCTGCGAGCTATGGAACTCTTCAGTCTGGAGAGCGCAGGCTCAGGGGTGATTTGGTGGCAGTCTGTAAGTACGTCAGGGGTGTGCATCAGGATCTCGGGGAACGCCTGTTCACCAGAGCGTCCCAAGGGATGACAAGGTCCAACAGTCACAAACTCCTCCAAGACCGTTTTAGGTTGGACATAAGGAAAAAATTATTTACTGTCTGAGCCCAAGGCCTGGAATAGACTCCCTCCAGAAGGGATGCAAGCACCTACTCTGGACTCTTAAGAAATATTTGGACGCTTATCTTGCTGGGTCCTTTGACCCTAACTGACTTCCTGCCCCTGGGGCAGGGGGCTGGACTTGAGGATCTTCCAAGGTCCCTTCCAGCCCTAGTATCTATGAAACCTATGAAATCTGTGTTAACTGAGATGACATGCACCCCCTCCCCTTTCTTTCAAAGAAAACTGCAAGTCTGAGGAGAAGGGCAAAAGAGGAAGAGTTTGCTTACCACTAAGAGGAACAAATGCAGCAAAGTGTCTCCAGGCAAGCCCCCAAGCTGCAGGGAGACTGGAATCTTTCACTTCTCTTTTTTGCAGAGGAGGAGTTTCAGTCTTTGGGGATTGGGAGATGGGGAGGTGGGCCGAATATGTCACTTTCTTTAACAAGGCACACTTCCTGCATGCAGGAATCCTCTCATTTTGCTCTCTGTGGCATACAAAAGAAGCTGGCCCCTTAAGGAACAGCATAAAAAAGTGGACAAGGGGCACACAAGCTGAACTGCCCAGTACACTCTTCATGCAGGATAGCAGCCCCAAACTGAGCAGTGCTGCAGGGAACTATAGGGGGGTTTTTTAGACTCTTTCCTGTGCAAGGCAGTATAGTGTTTACTAAGTGGCTTGAAGAGAAACCGCAGGGAAAAGGAAGAGAAGAGGGCATACACAGACAGAGGGTACCCCTTCTCTGCGCAGATAATCAGGGTTTGAATTATGAGGGAGCTTGGGGGGGGTGGAGCCGAGTCCCCCCATAAGAGATGAGAGCCCCCCTATAAGATTTGAAAATCATAACCTGGGGGGGTCTCCAATTTCATTAGGGCATTGTGATGGGTAGCCCAATTTTTTTTGCAGCCCCCCCAAAGAGTCAAAGTGTAATTCAAACCCTAAAGGTAACTCAGGTGATTTGGAACAAGGATTAAACCCACCTGGATGTGAGCATTCCACCAGCAAAGCCCTACCCACATCACTGTGACTATGGTGGACCCACACTCATCTTGCCTGGGGATTCCCCACACTTGTCTGGGGGTTCACTTGGTGCTTTACTCACTATATATGTATGGCTAGATTTTGTCACTTAAACCTACCCAAAACCATGTTTGATTGGGGAGGGGTTGAGATATATGCATAAATATCTGCTTGAATTGGATTTACTAATGTGGTGCTCTGTCTCTATGGACAGCTGATGTCAAGCTACGTTCGGTTTTATCATATTTACGTTTGCATGAACCAGGGCATTTGGTAGGAATGTATTTTTGTATTTTTATAATGTAACTTTGAGTAGGCAGTAAAACAAATGCTAGTTGTTAGAAGTGCCCCTACCAAACAATAGGTATTTACACTTCAGAAAAGCGCTGGCTGGCAGAAGGGAAATTAATCTCTGGGAGTTCCCACTTGGGAGGGCTATGCATATTGACTGGCCAGAAAGGCAGCATAACTCTCACTGTATATTTGGGGAGATATTCCAATCCCAAACAATTGCTGTTTACATTTCACAAGAAATACCTCAGTTAAGAGAGGGAGAGAGAGATTGGAATATATTTCACAAAAAGGTTTCATACTGAAAGAGACTCTCTCTCTCTCAAGTAACTGGTGGCCAAGAAAATATGATAAACAGTTTATTTATCTGGAAGGATGTAAATAATTCTACAGTTGCCCATTATCTGTCAGTCCAGTTGTTCCATAACTGCAGAGGATATGTAGTGGATTACCCCAGTCAACTCTGTCCCAATCATCCATTTTGCAGGTCCCAGAGAAATATCCCACACGTTTCATATATTACATCTGACCTGGATCCCATGTAATTATATATATACATGGGGGTTTTATTTACATCTGTAAATGCAATGGAGAATGCCAACAGATAAGGAAGGTATAAACCTAGCCTCACTTGGTGACCCTGATAAAAGACAGTGCCAGTGAAAACTGAGTAGCTGGCATGCCAAGAGGTTTATAAAATAGGTTATAAAACTTTTTGTATGCAAACTCTGTGCTTGCAAAGAAAAAAAAAAGGTGGATATTGATTAAAGTGTATTCATTCTTCATTTCAGTCAAGACTGTATCTTCTGATGTAAAATATGATGCTTCCAACTTACTTTATCTTACCTGGTTCTCTATTAGAAACAAAGTCTCCTCCAACTTTTCTTCCTGAAGCATAATATATGAAGTTTCATTTCCAGAAGAAAGATTTAAAAAAGACTCCCAAGGCAAAAAGGGGCACTTCTGTTACCTGGCAGGCCAGGGAGGGCATTAATGCTTGCTATACGAAAAAGTGCTGATTTGGTGTTAAGTCAACAATAACAGCATAACTTTTTTTCTTGGGACAATAAAGGTCCCCCTGAGTACTTGGCCAAAGCTGTTGTGGGTCTAACAGGCTCATCCTTTTCCTGATAGCAGATGATCCGCAGGTTCCAGTGTCTGTATGATGGTCATAGGCTGAGCTGTATGTTTGTCTTTGTTATCATTAGGGAGTGTGTAGAAAGGCTCAGAGGAGGGACAGAGCCTGCCAGGGCTTATGTATAAAAACAGGTGAGACGTTAAAAACAACAACCACCCTTTCAGAAAAGTACATCCTAGAAACCCAGCTTGTTTAAAGACCAAACTGGTTAGCTGTACCAGTAACTGTAAACACTTTAATTGAAACTATGGGGTATGTATTTGTGATTCTCAGAGACTTCTACCTGAGCAGCAGTGTAAGGCAATCGTATTCAGCACTGCAGTGTCTCTCAGATCTATTTTTGTACTTCCAAGTGTATTTACTGTCGGTCACATTTATTACCTTTTGGTTCATATTATGAAATAACTCATGTTCATTCAGTACTTGTTAAAAGTCCTTGGAGTCTCAGAACAGCAGAGACTCCCTGAAGAAGGGCGATTGCCCCCGAAAGCTTGCTGAGAACATTTTCCCAACTGCTCAGTTGGTTTGATAAAAGAGATCACATCTACTCAACCAACCTTGCCTGTTAAAATCCAGGCACTCTTGGGATACTCGCTGTGCTAGGCATAAAAATGACATTTATACCCAGGAGGGGGTGCTAGCAGGTAGAAAGGAAAGCCATCCATCCACAGGGATTGATTTTCTATCAACTGCAATTTGTAGTCTTAATTCTCGCTTTAATGTCCCGTTTCCCAGAGGACCAGCCAGACTTCTAGGTCTCGCAGGCCGCTCCAGTAGAGAGAACACAGCTGGCCCGAGGCAGGCTTCTCTGACATAATCCTGAGACACCCACAAGCAAGTGCAAACAGTCGCATCTTACACGCAGGAGGAAGGACAGGGCCAGGACACTCGGTCACACAGCCTCTTCTAGCTGCCTCTGCTTAAGCTGCTCCCCCCCCGCCCCGCCCCCGGAGAGCGGGTTACTGCGCGTGCGCAGCCCACAACCAATGGAAGGGAACTTCCGCCTCCTCTGCACAAGTGGGAGCTAGGAACAGCTGCCCTGGCGCACGTGGCGGCTGCGGCGGGAAGCAGCGGACTGGATGCTGGTGGCGAAGTGGCGCTGCCCGGCGGGGCGCGGTTCGGGGCGGAGCAGTGGCCGGAGCCGGGCGGCGGCGCGGGGGCCGGGGGCGCAGCCTGCCGCTCTGGAGGGCCCTCAGCGGGGCCCTGGCCCTGGCCGTGGTGGCGCACCTGGCCGCGTGGCCCTGGCGGGTGGCTGGTGAATGCCCCCGCGCTCCCGCCCTCTTGTGCTGCCGGTGGGTGGGATGGAGCCAGCCCCGGGGCCTGGGACCGTCTTTGCTGCTCCCTCTCGGGCTCCCTGGGGTGTTTGCCGTCCGTGCCCCTTCCTAGGGCCCTGTTGGCTTCCCCTTGGCCCAGCTCCATGGGCTGGAAAGCACTGATGAGATAAAGCCATCTTTTTCCTTCTCTAAGCAACTTTCTGTTGCTGCTGCTTCTGAGGATGCTTCTGCTGAGGATGCTGCTGCTGCAGTGGCCTGAGGTTTCAGAAGTTAACTACTCCTAACTGGCACTTCCTAGACCCTGAGGGCTGGAGGCTTAGAGGAAAAAACCCTGTTCACTTTCCCTATCAGTATCCACTTTGTGCTGCTGTGTGTCACAGGCCTGTTGGGTGCACTCAGAGACTTGGGCATGTGGATGCTGCCTGATGACACTGCCCAGAGCTGTGACTGGATGAGGGATGGAAAGATGGCCCCACGAGTACCAGGGGTGCTCTTGGGCAGAGCCTCCTTCCTGGTTAGCTAGATGGCCAGCTTAGCTAGGGCTAAGAGGAGATTCGGCAGGAGGTCCCAGGACTTAGTGGAGCTATGGATAGGGAGTGCATAAACGAAAAGGTGCTGGGATTAGTGTAGCCAGAGCCTCAGCAAGGCCTTCCTGAGAAGGCAGTGAAGGGCCTGGTGCACTTGATAGGTGTGCCAGGATCTCTCTCTGCTCACAGAAGGAGTAGGTGTCAGTAGAGCAGATGCATGCTCATGGTGATGGCTCCATGGAGGAGCCACACCTGTGTGACACAGGCTTATCTGCAATGCCATAGGGAAAATGCGGGCTTATGCCCATGAGAAAAAACTATAAGCCCCCCCTAAAGAGAGAAGCCATTAAAGACACAGTAACTAACTTTTGGGGACAAATAGAAAGAAAATAAGGAAGGGGATGAGGGTCACAGGTTAATAAGGGGTTCAGAAGGGAATGCCAAGCAGAACATACTAGCCACCATACTCACCTGGGTCCACCCTGGCCAGAGTTCCATTCCTGGAGATGGAGATGGCCATGTTGGTTAGATCCAGAAAGATGTTGACCAGGAGGTCCTGGAACATGGTGCGGCCACAGTCAGGGAGTGCCTAAAAGAAGGTGTGGGCAGAAGGTGCATCCAGAAACTCAGCAGGAGGTTCCAGAGGAAGCTTCAACCTGGTGCACTCCAGGTAGGCCTGTGCCAGGGTCTTGCTCTGTTGGCAGAAGGGGCAGGTGTCAGGGGGTGTCCGTGAACTGCACCAGATAAACATCCATGGGGACAGTAGAGGATCTGCCAGTATGCGACAAAGGTCTATTTATTGCCTAAGGACCCTGGGCCAGTGCCCACAAGGAAACACTATAAGCCTCCATTAGAAAGGGAGGCCATTGGATAGCTAGCCGACTAAAGACATAGCAGGGACAGGAGTAAGGATCAGATGTTTAAAACTAGTGTGCCAAGGAGTGACACTGAGCAGAGGACACTGGATAGTGCCCACTTGTCCTCAAATGAGTCCAAGGAGCCAGTGGACACTATCCAGTGATACTCTGCCTGGAAATGGGATTTCACGAGTGAAGGGAAAGCGGCCTCACAGTTCCCAGGGACCCGTACGGCCAGAGCCTCCTTCCTGGTAATGTATACAGTAGCTTGACCAGAGCCAGAAGGAAGTTGACCAGGAGGTCCTGGAACTTGGTGTGGCCATGGACAGGGAGTGCATACATAAGCAGGTGAGGGGAATAGTGTAGCCAGACCCCCCGACAAGAGGTTCTGGAGGATGCGGTGCAGGGGCTGCAGCCTGGCACACACCAGCATCTCCCTCTGCTTACAGAAGTGGCAGGTGTTGGCGGTGTCCAGGAACCATGCCCAATACATGCCCATGGCGACAGCTCTGTGGAGGAGCCTCCAGTGTGTGACAAAGAATGCTGGGCAAGGTAGACCTATGGTCGGGCCCACTAAATGGCAGTTCTTTTGTTTTTTTGGTTTGTGCTAGGACTTTTAATAGAATAACACTGTTAGATGCTAAAGTTCGTTCACTTCAGTTGGCCGAGCAGAATAAGTTATGCCAGTAGGAACACTTTCATACCCATATAACTGCATCCACAATACGGAGCTTGTCATTTTAACTATGCTGCCAGATTTGAGGTAAAAACGCTCTTGGGAGTAGCCACTGCTAAAGTCTTATTACTTGTCTTACCAACGGCATTTGTGAAGGTATTCAAGGAAAGCTGACTATAACTGCCGAAATGGGAGCTGGCCCCAACCAGGACTTCAGCTGGCCTCCCTTTGGTTGTTGCTCAGAACAGGTTGGAACATTATCTCAGGAGGAAGTAAGGGTCTGAGAAAGTAATGGAAGACTGTTTTATGTTTCCTAGGAACATGCTGGGCTCTTGATGTGTCAGAAAAATGTGCAACCTGCCCAGAAGACTGGATCAGGTTGGATAGCAACATGACTGGAGGATGATGTTACTATTTTTCTAGTGAATCTAAGGATTGGGGTACCAGTAAGGACATCTGTGGCTCACATAATGCCACTCTGGCTATGATAAAGGAGCCGCTAGTCCTGGTAAGAATATGAAACTTCTTATGTCTGAATAATGTTATTTTAATGGTTTTACATGATATTCCTAGAAAGTAATGAGTCAAAGATATAAAAATTACAGCAATGAGCAGCTTGGTTCTTAACTCTGTACTATAGATAAGAAAATTGTTTGGCTTTTTAAATAACTTCTTCATTTAAAAAGCCCTGAGAGAGACAAAATATCAGGAATGGATTTTGAAACATGAGGCCATACACTAGGTTAGTGAAACTTGCAGTGATAGAAGGGAGAGGCTGATACAACGAAACAAGAGCCTGAGATGTACTGACTTCTAGAATTCTCTGAAGTTTCTTCCTGTGAAGCTGTTGCAGTTGCACCGACCTTTGGTGGCACTTTTGTAGAAGTGATTTAACTCGGGCACCTGCAAAATGTTCCAGCAGGAGAGGACTGGAATGACTCAGCTCAGACTTGAGGTAGGAAGGTATTAGAGCCCACCTGCCTCCACTGCACCTTCCTGCCGCCTGGCTACAGCTTGGTGCAAGGAAAGCTTCCCCTCTGCCAGGGCCGTGGGCATCTGCCTGTGGTGTGGCACAGGGAGAGCCCCTGCTGCCGAATGTCACCAAACCCCACATTTGTGGGTCAGATCCAAAGGCCCCATACGATCCAATCTGTGGGCCATATGTTGCGAACCCGATTTTAGCTTCTTATGAATTGATTGGAAATTGGTTCCAGATTGTTAAAGATCTTGTTTTATTGTTCCTCAAACTAGATTGAACTCCGGTTGATTATACATCAACATTTCATTTGTCAAGGGACTCGTGGTGGTGTGACTTGTCCCCCAATGGAGAAGTTGCGAGATTGGCATGTCTACCTGTCGCCCTTCAAAGCAGGTTTAAAGAGTGGCTGAATGCACCATTGCTCTTCCACCAGTAGTAGCTAAAACAGCATACATCCCAACATGTCTGATGCTAAACAAGTGTCCATAAGTTCCCCTGACTCTCAGCTCTGAGAGAGGCACCCATTGGTTGTTCAAGTTGTGGATGGGTGACAGAATTTGCGTTGAAGGGATTTTGGTGTGATTTGCTGCACAGCTCAGGCTCTTAAGTGCCTGCCTGAATTTTCACTACATTTGTGTTGCCACCACTGACTTGGACATGGAGTTTCCACCGCCATCAGCTGCCATGTATGCATACATGGTTGTCACCTTGCAGACCTTCTGGCCTAATGTTGTGAACTTGTGCGGGAGATTTTTTTTTCCACTCAATGTCAGCAAATCATGATGGATGCCATGACTTCTTTTATCAATGCCAATAACAGGGGAGCCATATTTGTGGGGAAAAGCCTCGTGTATATTTTCGCTGCCAGTGAATGGAGGATTCATGGCTACATCCAGATTCTAGTCTGACAGCAGCTGCTGCCCTGAAGATGTTTTGGCTGCAGGTCAACATGTTGTTGTCAGGCCCATGAGGGAGTGATTCCAAACTGCAGAATGACATTTCTGGGCCAGGGGTATAAGCAGCAGCTGGTGGGAATGAATCCTCATGGCCACTTGAGACAACAGGCAGTGGACTTCCACGTGTCCAAGAGCACCTTCATGGAGATTCGTGCTGACCTTGTCTTACACATGCAGTAATAGACAGAGGTAATTTGGGTACCCTTATCCATGGAGAACTGAAAGAACTAAATTTAGTCTTTAAATGCAGTGCCCTTACATTCTAAAAAGTTTTGGAGCAGTACCTTGAACCTAAAAAACTTTGAGAACCACTGATATAGTGTGTGACTTGAGAGGAGTTTCCCTGACTAGCCCATGGCTTATGAGCAGTAACCAATTACAAATGTTCCATGTTCATACTACACTACTATTTTTTGCTAAGTACCACACACAGGTAAAGGTTGTGCTGATGATGTTCTGTGCATGGAGGAGTGGGAATTTGTTTCCTCCGCAGCTTTAGCTGATCAGATCCTATTTTTATGTTGTTTCTTTGCTGGCATTTGCCATGACTAGGCATGATGTTGGCTTTGAGTTTCAGAAAAAATGTAACTCTTGCTTTACTTTCCCAGCATAGATTTTTAGTTAGAAGTTTATGGGGTGGTACAGAGGGTTGAATTGGTTAATTCCATCTCTGTAAATGTTGCTTAGACTTGGATTACAATTAGGTTGTCAGCTGCCTGAAATCCAGTGGTTCTCAACCTGGAATCTAGTTTTGTACAACTCTTGAACACCTTGTTAGGTTGGCAGTAATGGATACACTTTTATTCCATTCAATTCATCTGTAAAAGTTATTCCTACTATTCTGGCAGAATAAAGTGCATTAGACAAGAGATTTAGTAGAGAATGCTCCTGGAAGGTTAATATTTCTTCAATTTTATTTTTAAATTCCAGGAGCACATCAAACGCTTAAGACGACCGGAGTATTACTACTGGATTGGGTTGAGAAAAGGACCAATGGGACAGCAGTGGGAGGATGGATCATTGTTCACGGGTTACGTGTGAGTTTGTCATTTGTGACTGCACAGTTGGCAGGAGTGTTGGCACATCTGTCTGATTGAACTGGGAAAGGAATAGTTGTTCCAAGGGTAGAGATGGGGGACAAATTGCGTGCAGTTTCCTTTTAATTCATCAAGATGTTTAGCTTCAGGAAAAATCTATTGTTTTCTGATTTCTTCTGTCATACATGTTGTGTAAACTTAAGCCTGGGGTTATGGAGATTACTGGACATCCTAGCCTTCTACCACAATGCATCTTTAGGAAGTAACTTGCTAACTCATGTTTTGTTTTGTTTTGTTTTGTTTTGTTTTGTTTTGTTTTGTTTTGTTTTTTCCCTCCCCCACCCAGAATCTCATTGGAAAACGAAGGCCCAAACCTGGATTGTGCCTACCTAAATGCAGAGAAATTGGTTGCTGTTGAATGTACATCTATAAGGCACTGGATCTGTGTCAAAGAGCTGTACTGAGCCTCTTCCATTTTCTTTGAACGACTTAGCAAGAAACATAATGTAAACTTGCTCATGAAGTTCCTTGCATCCTGCTGCTATAGAAAATGTTGTTGATTTCAGAGAAATGTTGTGGATGGAGTTGTTCTGAGCCATGAAGGCTAAGTACTGCATGTGCAGGTTTGTTGCAGGATACCTGGGTGGCCTGAGGCTGATGTACCTTGCCTGTTGTGACTTAGTTCTTATGGACCTCCACACATTTTTGTTTCTAGATCAATGGTTCTCAAATTCATTAAATGACTCAAGGCACCAGTTGGAAAATGCCAGCTCTTAGCCCCCTCTTATTTTTGGTGCATCCCCTTCCCTGCGAAACAAGTTATTCCCACTCGGGGTGGGCAGCTCCGTCTACAGCCTGTGACCCAGGGCCAAATTTGGAGCTGAGCAGCAGCCTGCCTCTAGGTTGGAAGTAGAATTCAAGATGTCTCCCTCCTTGCTGTCCCCCCCCCCACACACACACATACATTGATGGGGGTGGGGGAGGAGGGCGGGCAGGAGGACAGACCTCATCTTGGATTCAAGTGAATAAGGTGTTTCCCAGTATGCTTCCTTGGTGACCTGTCCAGTGTCTGTATGCTTTCTTTTTGCATTTGAGGCATCCTAGAAGCTCCTTGCACAGCCACGTTTGTCTTGTACCATTCTTTTTACACTTTAATTTTGTTGGAACAGTTTCTTGTTAGGCTTCCAGTACTGTGCCCTTTAGAAGCTTCCAGCTCTCCTTGCGCCTATATCCTTCATTCTTTGTTTCTATGGCACCATGCTTATTAACTGCTTGAATTAACTGAAGTGTACTTTTTTTGAAATCCAATGTCCTAGTTCTGCTGACCAAGCTTCCCCATCTCAGGATCTTTAATTCTATCATACCGTGATCACTTCCACCCAAGTTTTCCATCACCTTCACATTTTCGACCAGTTTTCTTTGTCGGGACAAGATCCAAAATAGATGATCCCCTAGTTGTTTCTGGAACAGAAAAGTGCCCTCTACACAAACTAGAAACCTGCTTGACATTTTATGTTTGGCTATATTAATCCAGCAGATGTCTGGAAAATTGAAGTCTCCCATCAGTAGCATTTCATAACTTCTGGATAATTCTCACATCGTCAACAGTACCTCATCCACTTCTTCCTGATTTGGTGGATTATATCTGTAATATATCTCACCGTTATATTACTGCTGTACCTTTTATCTTCTCCCAAATACAGTTTGATCTACCTTCATTTTGAACCAGGGAACAGGCCTATCTATTTTTGACATACAAGGTGTGGAAGAAATCAAACTTCGCGTTGTGGTTGTATTAGAATTGGCAGAGCCATCTAGGTTTATTTAAAGCTATACAAGTGATCACAAGGAGGGTTTTCAAAGGAACTCTGACCTCTACAAGTTTACAAGCGTATTTATACTTTAAACAGCGAGAAAAGATGCAGGGTTCAGACAAAGCAACCTTGAGAGAATCAGAAAGCTGTTGATCATTCGTTTGTCACACATAAGCTGTTACTTTTTCAGCAAACACGTGTTTTGGGAACAGCTATCAGTGTTGTGGTTGGGGGTTTTTGGGGGGGGGGGTTTGGTTCCTGGAAAGGAGGAGGTTAACATTTGCACACAGACAAAACAAGGCATGAAGGTTTTTCCTTATCTTAAAACATCAGCATCTTTTTCAGGAACTAGGTAGAGCCCTTCTTCCTTTCCCGAAGGGCATAGTGGTGTTGTTGGGGTACATTTTTTCTGTTCTGTAGTGGTAAATCCTCTTTGCTCTGTAGTGACAAATCCTCTTCGCCAGTAGGCGCTTGGCTCACTACTGGTCTTGAGCTATCTAGTTGGCAGGCGCTAAGCTCACTACCAGTCTGTGGAGGCTGATTAGAAGGTTGATATAGAGGAGACTCTAAGTCTAACAGGGCTGATGTTTTCTTAGTGCGTGAAGCATGGATCCATGTTTGGAGTCCTTGACACTTTATTGCAGTGTTGGTTGTCAGGAGTACCTGGAATGGGCCTTTCCAGAGATGATTTCCGTTGATGGACTTTTACATAAACCCAGTCACCAGACAGGATGGAATGGCATGGCTCGTCTGGTTCCTTGGGGAGAGTTGCTTGTACCTGTGAATGAAAAGCCTTAACACAATTCATTAGTGCCCTACAGTAGTCAAGAATAGTATCATCAAGTAAATGCATATTGCAAAAGTGGGAGGCAACAGGTGGTGAGGCAGGGATCCTCATGGGTCTTCCTATCGGGATTTCATGTGGGCTAAGTCCGGTCTTTCGATTGCCAGTAGATCTCATACTCATAAGGGCTATGGGAAGTGCATCTGGCCATTTTGAGTGAGTTTCAGCACAAATTTTGGCCAGTTTATTTTTTTTAAATGCCATTTTGGCCTGTGGATGGTACGGGCAATGAAAGTTCTGCTGGATTTGCAGGAGTTTGCAGACTTCTTTCATTATCTGCCCAGTAAAATGAGTTCCTCTATCGGAGTTTATGGATAAAGGAATACCAAACCCTGGAATAAAGTCTTTGAGCAACTTTTTGCTCACAGTGATGGTATCAGCTTTTGCACATGGGTAGGCTTCTACCCATCCAGAGAACATACATACAATAACAAGAACATATTCATAAGAACAACATTTCTGCATTTGAATAAAATCTATTTGTAAATTTACAAACGGCCTCCAAGGTGGGGGATGTGCTGCTTTTTTTTTTTTGTTTTTACAGGCTTTCCCACATTATGGGCTTGACAAATAGGGCAGGTATAACAGTATTGTTGAGCCACAGATGAAAAAGTTGGAGCAAACCAATTAAGCTTAACAGCTTCTATCATCCTCCCTTTGCTCACGTGTGCTATGCTGTGGTGTATGTGAGCAGGATAGGGAAGAAGGACCATTGGGGCAACCAGGTGGCTGTCCGGGGAGCGGCACAAATGGTCAGGGTGTAACAAACACCCAGCTAGTCTCTACGTATATTTTTCTTGTTCTGGAGCCTGATCTTGGAGGAGGGTAACGTCATGAAGACTTGCCAATGGAGACTGGTTGGTTGAGATAGACAAAAACACAGGTGTAGCCTGAGGAGTGGAAATAGCTGCAGCTTTGGCAGTGGAGTCTGCCAGAGCATTTTTACATGTAACGTTATTATAAGGTTTCTGGTGAGCTTGGCATTCAACAGCAGGAGGTAACTGTAAAGCATTTAACAAGGCATTTACATATGGACCCTTACTAATTTTGGCACCTCCTGACGTGACGAAGCCTCTTTGCTTCCAAAGTTGACCATAATCGTGTACAATACCAAAGGCATAGTGAGAATCAGTGTAAATATTAACAGGTACCATAGGCTAGGGTGCAAGCCCTGGTAAGGGCCACAAGCTCAGCAGCTTGAGCTGAATACACATTGGGCAAGTGATGGCTTTATATAACATCATATTGGGAACATACTGCATATCCTGCAACAAGAGAACCTTTTGAGTTTCTTTGACAT